GGGTGCACTTCCGATTTGGGTCGGGTCAAAGTGGATTCGGGTTCTTCGTAGTGAGACGAAGAGATTGATATATTGTACGCTCAAAACGGATAATGGGTGAATGAGATATTGATTCTCAAAATAGACCCATTGAGTTGAAAAAATGAAGGGAAAAGTGAGCTTTGTCCCACATTGGTTTGGGAAGAAGATTTGACCCCCCTTTTATACAAGAGCTTTTTTAGAGCTTGTAAAATTGTATTGCATAGAGGCTTTCTCGCGGGGGGGGGGGGGGGTGCAAATCAAATTCCAACTACAGATGACTTCAGAAAGGCTTGATTCAAGCCCGAGCTCGTGTCCGCCGGCACCTACGGGCACGAATGTCGTCCGGAAATTGGGCGGGCATAAGTTATGCCAACTTTCAGTATCATATTTTCCAACGCAATATCCACTTGGGTTCGGCCAAGACCGAGACGAGCTCGGTCCAGGCCGAACTAAACCATGGTTTCGGCCTTGGGAGGCCGAAAAACAGAATGCAGCAATGTTTCGGCCTTGGCCCGAAACTTGGCGAAGCTGAAAGTTTCGGCCCCGAAGGCCAACAGTCCATTAACTCCAGTTTTGAATTTTGAATTTAATTCTGTTAATGGGGTTGCTGTTTCAGATGTTACACAACGTGTAATTATGGCCATGATAAATGCTATTAAGTACTCCTCCCCTACATAAGAAGGGGTAGAAGGCAGAAGCTTTACACACTAAGAATAACACAAGAGCTCTACACGAAATTTTGTTTTCAAGCTTCAAAATACTTCTGCTTCTACTCTTTTCTTTGCCAAACTGTGTTCATACCTTTGCTCTAGTTCGCCGGGTTCTCTCGTTTGGGTGCTCAAACGTCGAACCGTAGCGCGTTTTATCCTGGGAAACCTAGGCCACGACGCTCCTAGCACTTGTGGGAGGTGGCAAATAAGATTTTAAGGAAAGAGTGGTCTCTTGACTCACGCTAAAAACCCTATACCCATACACGAGCCATCTTTTCCTTCTTTCGGTTTTGGATTATGCTTCTAAGCAAAATCCTCCTCTTCTGATTTAGTTTGGTTGGAATTATAATCTGTGGATTATAAATTCCATTTGGTTAATATGTATATATCTTTTCTGTAGATATTCATGCATATAACCATGGTGGTCTGATTTATATATATATTTGTGTGTGTGTGTGTGTGTGTGTGTGTGTGTATATATATATATATATATATATATATATATATATATATATATATATATATTTCGGACATATATATCAAATAATATTTTATATACTTCGTGTGTGTATATATAAATATTATTTTACGATATTAAATCGATTATTGGTTCATTATCACCAATATTGCTTTCCTCTCAGACGACCATCTACCAGAAATATATAGATGAAGGACCAAAATTGTCCTCGTCACAATAAGAATGTTCACAAATTGTCTAATTATTTTATGGGGGACTAAAATTGTCTGTGCCAATATAAGTCTATGATCAAATTTGTCTTTTTACTTTTTAAGAAATGTGTGTTAGGTTGGATTATGGAATAAAAATGCAATAAACATTCAAAAGATCACACAAAATTACCATTCACATTGATATATGTAATTATGTATATATATGCAGTAGTATTACTAATAGTATACAAAGATTTTATATTTAAGCTCATCTTTAGTAATTTTTATTAAATCTATAAATAAAATGTCAATAAATTTATTACAAAATACAATATTTTTTTATGAAAATAAAAAATGAAAAAGAAATACTATATCTACTATATTATAATTTAAATATATTAATTATTTTTAATTGAAATTTTGAAATGAAGGTTTAGATTAATTAAATGATGTATAAGTTTATGTTTATTCGTCTTAATGTATTAGTTTGTTTTTTTTGTTTTTGTTTTTTTTTTTTTTTTTGGTGAAAGTTAATGCACTAGTTCATGAAAATTAAAAATTTAGAATATTAATTTGAAAATATTAAAAGTTTTAGTTGACCCTGTCAGCCAGAAGTTTTAAGATTAAAGTCAAAAATATTAACCACAATTATCCCAAGTCGATAATCCTGACTCAAATTGAACAGTCTGGCCGGATTACTATTCTTAGACAAAAACATATAATGAAGCAGAGTTATGGGGCAAGCAAACTTGCTAAGAAATAGATTTATAATAGGATTGAGTTAATGGCTCTGAGTTTTATTTTACATCAAATTCATCACCACAAAAAGCAGTAATCGCCCAGAAGATTAATCAAAACTGACGATGAACCCTTCAACTCCTTCTTCTTCTACAACTTCCATAACCTCTCTTCTACGGGAGATTCTTCTCAAAATTCTCACCGGTCTTCCTGCCAAATCCGCAGTGGGATTCAGATGCACCTCTAAATTCTTCTATTCTCTCATACCGTAGCCACGCTTCGCGTTCAGAATCCTCGTCGCTCTCCCATCCACAACACCCCCTGCATTAAATTTATTTCCATGTGAATATCGACCCACGCAGCATCAGCGGAAGTGGCTGCCATGGATGAAGCTGAATGATCGCCTAGCTTTCATTGACATTCTTGACTCACAAAAGACAAAATCCCGCTGGCCCGATATGATAGATATATGGACGTTGGAGGGGTCAATGAAGTACTGGGAGAAGCAGACGCTGGTTCTACCATTGGAGGAGAGGGAGGTGATTGGAGAAGCTACTTTCATAGGGTTTAGTGGGAATAGTATGGGGGATATTGTGTTCTTTCTTGAAAGGGAGAAGATGATGTATCCTTTGGTTTTAGTTTATTCATTTGAAAGAGAGGTTTGGAGAAGATTTGTGATACATGGAGTTGGTAATTACTCATTTTATCTCTCATATAAGACAAGTGTTGTGTATGTGGAGGATGAGATTGCAACTTTTTTGGAATGAAGAATTTTGATAAGCTCTATATATCTTTATAATTTGAAGTCCAAATTTTATGATTTATCTTTTAATAATGTTATAATAAAAGTTATATTATTGCATGTTTTGTTGTGTTATTTAATTTGGCATGCTAAGCTAAATGAAAAATTATGAATTTTACCACTACAATGAATCATTACCCACATCATTTTTACTCCGGTATTTCTTTATTTCATGTTCATGTAGTCTGATGAATGCAAAATGAATTATATTATGAAAATTACGAGGACCCTAAGTGCAAGACAACTATTTAATATATGATGAGAAATAGAAAAGAGAATAAAAATTCCTAAGGACAAAAATAATATTTTTCAAGCAATTGTGTGATTCATGCTATTTCGTAAGGAGTGAATTCCATTTTTGGTCATATTGTTATATGGTCTTTTTCAATTTTAGTCCATCATAATTATTTTTGTCACATTAGATCCACTATTATTAAAAGTGTTCTAAGTTTCTATTAAACAGACAGATATTTCAATTGTTATTTTCATCAATGGTGGACAGCTAATTTATAAGTTCAAAACACAAATCAGGATGATTGGTCTAAGCACTAAGCAGTCTGTTCTGTTCTCCATTTGCAGGTTTCACATATCACCTTCATTGGGCACATAACATGGAGAAAACTATATCTTGTGCATTTTCATATTGTTGTTCATGTTATAAAAGAGAAAGAAGCTTGGAAGATGATCTTTGATCCTCAATCAGATATTGGAAATTGGACAAATGACTTATCAAATTTTGACACAATACAATATTATATATTCATATGTATACAAATGACAAATCCTAAATCCTAGCTATTGTTACCAATCATCCTGACAGTTTGGAGTAATTTGAAATGCCTAAATCCTACATTGACTGAACAAAGTTTGGTTTTAAATTTTCAATCCGAATTCACACTAATTCAACACTCAAAATTTAATCTCAGATGTGTACAGGTCAACCAAATAGTGCCACTTTAACCAATATAGCTCTAACAGGAAAGCCTTTGAATTATCTGAGGTACTAAAGAAAGGTCTCCTGAAAAGAAAAGTTCCAATCACAATAACTGAAAAACCTTGCCATACTGCTCCCCAAATTTAACCAGCCATCTTTGAAGCTTTGGTTTACTTGGCTGAGCTTCTTCAGTCAACTGCACATTATAGGCTTAACTTGGAAGATGACGGTTCATCTCCATGGTGCAGTTGACTGAAGAAGCTAAGCCAAGTAAACCAAAGCTTGGAAGAGCATTGGAAGATGAATAATTTAACCTGTCATTTTTTTTAACCTATTATTAGCCTAACTTTTTTTTTTTTGACCTTATTAGTATAGTAGATAAATAGATATATGTTGTTGTTGTAGTATAAGGAAATTTTATATGTAAGTTCATCTTTAGTAATTTTTATTAAATTTGTAAATAAAATGTTAATAAATGAAAAATTTTAACGACGGACACACAGTGATGTTGGAACGTTAGATGTAACACAGAGAAATTTTAACGCAGTTCGAGCAAAAGATCCTAATCTGCGAGGCACTTCTCGTATTGAGAATTAACATAAATTCACTATGAGCAATTTCAAAAGTATAGAGTTTCGGAAAAGAATTCTTTTACACAATAAATCTCACAATCTCTCATAATCTATGAAAACCTAACTATAGTACTACTCCAAAGTGTTAGACTCACCAATTTGAAATGGTAATTGAGATGTCATGGCACTACATAGTAGTTGACAACCAAATTAATTTGAAATAATAACCCAAATTGATAAAATCCCACAGCTTAATATTACTAGCCAAATTGACATTCTTGGACAAGGACACATAGCCAAGTCTTAACGTACAACTCCAGTGTAGATTTTTTCCTTAAATCCCAGTAAAAGTATTTGGCCTTTTATATTCATTGCAACCTAACAAATAGATTCATAATAGGATTGAGTCACTGACTCCATATTTTACTTGATATCAACTACTATATCATCACACCTTAAGTCCATATAAACATCAAACTCATCAACGCAGAAAGCTGTAATCACCATTCTCGATCGATTGATTTTGCAGAAGATCAATCAAAGTTCAAAGACAGATGAATAACCCTTCAACTTCTTCTCCTTCTACTTCCATAACCTCTCTTTCACGAGAGATTCTTCTCAAAATTCTCACAGGTCTTCCTCCCAAATCCGCAGTGCGATTCAGATGCACCTCCAAATTCTTCCATGCTCTCATACCGGAGCCACGCTTCGCGTTCAGAATCCTCGTCTCTCTCCCATCCAAAACCCGCCCCATACTAAACCTATACTCCGTGAATTACAGCGAAGACAGCCATGGAAACCTCCAAGCCGACACCGCCGAACGTTTGGACACACGAGATTTAGTATGTCTGGCCGGCTCGAGTTCCGCCGACGGCAAGCTTTGTCTGCTCAGCGACGAATTGGGAGACGACGCCGTCTTCGACCTTAGTACCCGACGAAGTATTCCTCTTCCCAGATTTTCTCTGCCGCCATACCGTTACCTCAGCTGCGGTGTCTTGGGTTTTGGCTTCTTTTTTTACCGCCGGAGGTTCCCCGGCCGGCCCATCTCCTCCCGGACGGTCTTGGGGTTCGACTCGGTTTCGGGAAAGTACAAGGTTTTCAAGCCGGCGGTGTACTATGATTCCGACGGGATGTTTAATCGGCTTTGGGTTTTTACTCTCGGAGTGGATGATTCATGGCGGGAGATAGAGATAGAGATAGAGATAGAGGTAGAGAGAGACAACAGATACATCGACGCCGTCGTCCACGTTAACGGGACCGTCTATTTGGTTCCTCGTACCAAATCAAGAATCACCGCAATGGACGTCGCGACGGAGAGGCTAACGGCGTTGATACCGTTTCCGTCGGAGTATCAGCCCGGGCGGCCATGGATGAACTTGAATGGTCTGCTGGCTTTCGTTAACGTTCCTAAAAGAGGAGACCCGGAGTGGGGAATGGAGGTATGGACGCTGGGGAGGGCGGTGGAATGGGAGAGGCGCGCGGTGGCTCCGCCGTCGGAGGAGGAGAGGGAGGTGATCCGAGAAGCTACTTCGATGGGTTTTGCTTCGAATAGTATGGGGGAGATTGTGTTGTTGCTGCAGGGTAAGGGGATGTGCCCTTTGGTTTTGGTTTATTCGTTTGGGAGAGGGGTTTGGAGGAGATTTGAGATTAGTGGGGTTTATAATTACTTACTTTTGCTCTCATATATGAGAGGTGTTGTTCATGTGGAGGATGAGAGTGCTATTTTTTTGGAATGACTTTTGGTTTTATTTGGCCCTTCAAGTTGAGGGGTTGATAAAGTATGAAATATTTAATTTTGGAAGAATGAAATATTTAATTTTTATTAGGAGATTTGAAACTTGAAAGTTATAGCTTGTTTATCAACGAAAACTTTTTTTTTTTTTTTTTTCAATTTTCATTCTCTATTTTATATTTTTTGTTTTTTTTTTTTTAGAAAATTTGTTTATTAAAATTATTTTTTCAAATTTTTGTTTAGATTAACTTTATGAAATTAATACAAGTTTAATTTCGAGTTATTTTTACTTTATATTTAAAATATACTTCATAATAAATATAATTTATACTTTTCAGTCCAATATATGAAAGATTTTTACATTTGATATCTAAACCTAATTTATATTTGTGTATAACATAATTCAAAATATATCCGAACCAATAAATATTAAGTTAAACTAAAATTTAGTTTAAATAATATTAATTTTTTTTTGAGCTAATATTTAAAATATTTTTTGGATATATTTATTTGAATGAAATGGGGGTGTATATAAATATATAATTTTCTTTGAATTCTAATATATTAATATGTGAAATTTCAATATCCGATATCCCGACCAAACTTGTATTAGCAATTGAGTCCAATCAAAATATAAAATTTAATTTGGTATATAGAGTTTAATTTTTAATTTTGATAATGTAAATAATGTCTAACTTTAGGCTTAAGCAAATAAGTTATTTTTAAATAAGTAATGCAAGTATAAAAGATAGAAGATGGTGATAAGTAAAAGGAGATTAAGATGATAATGAATGTAATCATAGTAATGAATAAATATGTAAGTAGATAATGGTGATAATATGGTTATAGTGACATATAGTCAAATAAATGATAGATGATTCTATTTTCTATTAATAGAAAACATTTTTTAATAGTTTTCCAGTTTTTTAGAAAATCAGAAAATTATTTCCTATTTTGAAAATGAAAAATTGTGCTAATAAACATGTTTTTTATTTTATGTTCTCCAATTCTCTAGTTTTCTAAAAAATTAGAGAATTTTTCGAGTTAATAAACGGACCCTATAGGTTTGTGTGTTCATTTCAATAGTGAATTTAATTTTGTTGCAAGATCACCACTAACTTTTTTGAAATTAATGTCATATAGATATTATTGTTCTTTTTGCCTAGAGAAATTGTTTAAATGCGAACCTGCAAACTACTTCAGTAATGCAGTGTAAGTTCTACATAACAAGCGACCTAAACTAAGACAAGTTCCAATGAGACACTTCATCTCTTCACTTTTATACAATTTAGTCAATAACTTTTTTAATTTGTACAATTAACCTATTTTGCAGGTTAACTCAAGGTAAGCAAGTAAAATTGAATCAAAAAAATAATTAAAAAAAAAAAAACATATTGCCAGCCAGGCAGGCCTCTCCGTCCAACTGAACAACAGAGGAGCCAGGCAGGCTTCTCCATCCGATTGGACGGGGAAAGCTGCTAGAGTTTTTTTTTTAATTGAATTATTTTAATTTAAGAAAGAAAAGTTACCGATTACTTGGATCGGAGGTGACTTGTTAATTAACTTAATTGCATAAAAATGAGAAGTTAATGTGTCTGATTAGAACCTTTTTTTGAGGACTAATTACACTTTGACTTATAGTTGAAGGCCTATTTTATAGCAATATTTAATATTGATATATTTGTGGTCAACATAACTTTTTTTTTTTTTTAATTTGATTTTATCACTAAGCCATTGTTAATTATCCACACATTCATCACAATGCTATATAGGCCATTGGAAATTTCAAATCAGAGAGAAATACGCATACACATGTATTTCAATGCTATATGGAATTCCGATCCCCATATGGCCATATGCCCATATCCAAGATCAAATCCCATAAGATGGAATATATGAAACAGGAACCCCATATTCTCAATTGGGACTAAAAAGCTGCTAATTAAGGTTGCAGTTTTGGATCCGATGGATATAATAAGTGAGCTTCCAGGCGATGTAAAGGACAAGATTTTAGAGTGTTTGCCCACTCGAGACGTTGCCAGAAGTGCTTTACTATCGACTCACTGGAAAGACGTTTGGTTGCACCATGGGCGGCTTGAGTTCGATACAGACTTCTTCGGATGTCTCAGAAAATGTCAAGGTCATAAACAACATTCTCTTGCACCGTGCTGTTCCGGTTAAGAAATTTACTCTCTGCATTTCTTGCCCGGAATTGGAAGGTCCTAAGCTGCAGCAGTCAGACATAGATCGTTGGTGCCATTATCTATCAAGAAATGGCGTTGAGGTGCTTAATATCACTATATTTGGCGAGTTTCAATTTTGATTGTAATTGCTCGGGTAAATGGTGCTGAACCCACACCCCGTCCCGACAGAGCATTTGGGAGGATGTAAATCATGGTGATTCAACTGAACATGAATCATAGAAGCTAGACCGGTGCTCACTGCGCACAAGGAGCCCCCCTCACTTTGAGAGGTTGCTCCCACACTGCCGCTGGTGAGGCTCGATCCCTGGTCATTCTTCTAAAGTTTCACCTCTATGACCCGTTGAGCTACCCATGCGGGCACCTGGCGTCACTTCATTAGTTTTCCATGAGGTTTTGTTTAAGAGTAGAATTGATGAAGGAGTGGTCTCTAATCTTGAGAAGCTTTCTTTCCATTTTTGTGTTGGGATCAATAATTTTAAGATCTGTGCTCCAAAACTCAAAAGCTTGGATTTGGCTTTTGTTTTTCATGCGGTTAAACAACAGAGTTGGTATTCGCCAAATTGTAGAGTAATGAAAACTCTTTGTCTATATGGCCGCGATTTGTTATTGGTGAGATTCTTTACTTTCACCTTATCTTAATGCAAATATGTATGAGAGCACTTCAATTGATGTGCCGACAGCTCAATTGGGCGTTAAATGGTGTTGGAGTTGTATATTTCTGGGCACCAAACACAAGTTCTCCACCTCGAACCACTATGTTAATGTGATTTACCCTTCCACTATTCTATCCTATCATATTGGGTCTGGGGCAGAAAATTTTATCTTTTGTAGACAAAGATTTTTTATTTTTTGTTTTTTATTTTGGATTTCTGGCTTGTTAAATTAGAGTTCTTCTCATGATTAATTTTTGTTTCCTTTACTGTTTTTAAGCTTGATGATTGCAGTAGTGGCATAGGCATTCCCAACTGCAAATCTGCAAGTAATATAATGGATTCAGATTCAGACTTTGGTCAGATCTGAAAGATCCCCTAACCTATACGTACTGGGGATTAAAGCAGAAAACATGCGGGTAAGACATGTAATTTACGGAACATGGGTTTTGTGGAAGACTTATATAGTAACGAGTATTTAAATCATGTGTTTTTTCCCCTCAAATTCCAACCCTCCCCCCCCCACCCCCACCCCCCGAATATCCTTTTTTGCAATGGGGTATCAAAATCTTCCCATAAAGTCTTACTCATAATCTTCATTTACTCATAATTATTGCTTATTTTGAGCTCATAATCTTCATTTACTCATAATTATTGCTTATTTTGAGAGTTGGTGTCTAACTGTAATAGCTCGGGAGATTTTTGAGATTTTTTTATAACTTTTCTTCCTCATGTTGAATTTTCTTGTTGCAACTTGAGTAATTTGTCAACAACTTTTATCTAAAATGCTTATATAGGATGATTAAAAATATGTAAAAAAGTGTATCTCATACACGAATGGAGTGGTTTGATTCTTTGTTTTCCCTAATATGTTTCTCATCCTTCTTGAGTTCTAGTCGAGTATTGACAAAGATGACAAAGATGCAGCTTCAATAATTATGAAGGATTCTTGCTTTATCAATCAAGATTTGAAGATGCTTAAAACAATAATCAAGATTGGGTCGTTTAGTGAATCGATATCCATATTGGAAATGCATATTTCGATAGCATTTTTCCAACTTTTGAACCGTGCTGGAGCGGTTCCCAAATGGTTTGCAAGAACTTAATTAAGCTCAGCTCGTTTTCGGTGGATGTGACTCATATATAAGCTGTCATCTTGTATAGTGTGCAATTGATTGCGTGTGTATAGTATTGTGCTGAACGATTAAGCAATTGATTGTCAGTTATTTGAATCTTGATGATTTGCCAAGAAATACTTGTAGTAGATTTCCTGGTCTCACTTCATTAGTTTGTTTATAGTATTCCTAATCTTGAGAAGTTGGTTTTGAATGATTGTGAAGGGATTAGTAATTTTGAGGTCAAAGCTCCAAAATATCATTAATGTTTAGTATGTAAGTTGTGAACATTCAGTATATAAATGCAGTATTTTTGAACCGGAGTCCACAAAATAATTTGCGCGTATATGATCCTTTATATATATATATATATATATATATATATATATATATATATATATATATATATATATATATATATATATATATATATATATATGCTTCGAATCCGGTGCACCCCTTTGATAAATGAGGTCATGAGAACTCATGTTATCCATTGATTAATTTTCCATCAATGGTTCAGATAATTAGAGATTACTAAAAGAAGAAAGGATATATATTAACCAAAAGGATTAAACTGTAATTGTACTTATTGAACTATTTATGGCATTAATTGTAATGGAATCTTAAGCATTAAATTAGGGATATAATGTATGGTAATTGAGGAGATGGATCGTTTCATCAACAGCATACACGTAGTAAACTTTAAACGCTTGAATGATACTGATAGTGCAGAAGGACGAGAGTCAGAAAACGCAGCACAGAGAGAACTAAGAAACGCACTTCAATAATGGCTGGACCAAGCACAGGTATTTGCATTTGTTCATAGTGGCATGTGCGTAACATATGTATTTGCATTTCTTACTGGTTTTGTTGACTTAATGAACGACCGACGAAATACCGGTATCTTTGAACCTCTCGAAGCAGCATTTACGTGTAATCGTGGATGCATACCAGCATCTGTAACCCTTCCGGCTTTAGTACGTCATGTATATATAATGGGAGCTTAGGGGCCGGGTTCGTGGAGTAACAATA